ACTACATTCGAGTCCTGGTTAAGAAGATAAAGTACATCCGACAGCAAAACCTCTGATCAGGATGATTTCAGAAGCGTGGAACCATCTCTTAATTGATGGTGTTCCTAGGTCCACCTTGACCCGGGGTGGTAGCACCTGTTAGGGTCCCAGCTATGGGCAAATAGTTAATCTGGGGTCAAAACACTATACCAGCAATACTTTTTGGGAAAATTATTGCCAACAGTCCATTTGTGGAAAAGAAAAATATTACGAGCAATATGTTTTTGAAAAAAAATATATTACTAGCAATACATTTTTTGAAAAAAAATGTTACCGGCAATACCTTTTTGGAAAAAAATATTACCCGAAATACATTTTTTGAAAAAAAATATTACCAGCAATTCATTTTTGAAAAAAAAATGTTACCAGCAATATATTTTTGGAAAAAGTATTAGCAGCAATACATTTTTGAAAAAAAAAATATTACCAGCAATAAAAATCTTGTCGGCATTTAAAAAAAAGCCATTGAAGCTGATATGCCGTAAAACAAACCAAACCAAACCAAACCTGAGATTAAGTATATGCTTCAAGTATAAGATCCGGGTTATTCTGACATCCATTCCAAATTGTACTATTTCTCTTAGTAATTCAGACAAGTTCTTTTGCCGTAACTCATCAAATATATGACTACCTCTGTTTGGATCAAGACATTTGCCGTGTTTCTGCTTTCAAGCAAGTTACGCTTGTCTCATTAGGGATGTCTTTTCTTAAGGATTCTGCGGCAGCATCTCTTGTATTCCATTAGAGGCGCCAAAACAGTGATAGTAGCCTTAAGGGACTTGGCAAATTTGTTGTGAGAAACATATATACAAAAGGAGTGCTTAAATTTCTCAACCTAAGAAGAGGGAGATTGACTTTCTTTGTTGAACCTACTGCGCGAAATACCACCAAAATGGCGTTTGTGGGGAATAATTTTATTGTCGAGCCAGTAATATTTGGTCTTTGTTAAAGTTTTCCGTTTCTGGTTACTTTTTTTCATATATCAGATATTTCAATGTGCCTTACTCAATGTCTGAGTATTTTCGGCTTTCATAAAACAAAATCAAAGAATTTTTTTTATAATATTGTGCACATATTTTTGTTTGTTTTCTTTCCTTTTTGGTGCTGTAATGTTTTTTTTTTTTTAAATATCTTAAACCTTAACTCGTAATGTAATGCGTTTTCAAGATTCAGTTTGTGATATATGCGTTCTTTTTTGTTTAATTAGTTAAATATGATGTTTCTTCCTAAATTTCATCATCTCTCCTCCCCAACTTCTGTAGTAAATAGTAATATTTGTAAGTGGGAAAATTCCACAAGTAAGTGATAATAGAATAATATTCGCTCACAAACAAACAAAAAAAAATTCTTACAATCTAAAATATGTTTCGACTTTAAATAACCCACAATAGGTTGATAAGCCGTAAAAAACCTAAACAATTAATCCTAAATTTCATAAAAATTAATTAATCCTGAATTGATATATTTTATGGTCAATTCTTCGAGTATGTTTACATGTTTTTAAGTTACGTTTGAAGTTTTCTATTTGTTGGATTTTCTTGTCTTTTCTACACACACAAACACACACACACACATATGTATATATATGTGTGTTTGTGTGTGTGTGTATATATAGGATTAAGGCAAATAAAATTGTCACTTAGGTGATGATTGATATTGTATTCAGTATCACAACTCTGGATTTTCGAAAACGAATACATTTTGTGATTGTTCAGTCTTCTTGTCAAGAAATTTCAGAATTTGATATATATATATATATATATATATATATATATATATATATATATATATATATTATGGAATAAAGATCAAAGAGGAAACGTTTATAAGTTTAACACGTCTCGCTTTTTATTTGAGCTTAATCAGAAGTTTTGGAAATAGGACGTGGAAGAGAATGTTCCTGTACTTTGAATTTTGTGTTGTTTGCTTTTTTCTTGATCAGCTAGATTGCACGTGTTATATATATATATATATAGTCATCCACGTACAAGCCTGTTTTTCTGTATCACAGTTTATCAGTGTAGCTAGCCATCTGATTACTTCAAGTCGAAACCCGACCGATTTGCCATTAATTGGAGATCCTACCCCAAGCTATCTCCTCACGGCAGAGAAAGGGACATTTTAATGTATTATATGCGAAATGTATACAAACGCCAGCAGTCAGAGTGTTCAATTCATTAATGAAGAGCGGTGCGTTAATAGCGGCAACGGCTACTGTTTTGCGATTACTTTTTTCTCAATAGTGTTCGATCGAAATGACGAGAGCATAACATAGTCATCGATATACAAGCCTGTTTCGTTATATCACAGCTCATCAGTGTGGCTCGACATCCAATAGAAACCCGACAGATTTGGCATCATATATATATATATATATATATATATATATATATATATATATTATATAACATATTTTTTACATATTTAATATTCTGCAACCGCACAATATTCATAACAAATTCCCAAACCTCATACTGTTAAACAAATTAAAATGAATTTGGAAAGAATAAAAAACAAAATAAAAATTATAATGATTCAAAAAATCTTATTAAAATATACTACAGAGTAACAAGAAGTAAACGAAAAATTATAAGAAGCCTAATAAATCGAAAAATTAAAAAAGCCTAATACATTGGTCAATGATAAGAAGCCTAATATATTGATACTTATTGATTTTGTAAAAGAAAAATCAAATGAAACACCTTCACTTATTAAATTAAACCTAGAAATAATCAAGATGATCAACATCAGCGATACAATGAAACAAGAAAATAAGCAAATCTTGTCCACTTGTAGAATGATACAAATAATTAAAACATATGCATTGTTTAAATAATCACTACATCATCTTGTCCATTATTTTGAGATTCATCCGATATATGTAAAACAATTCATAATTATTATAATTATTATATTATTAATATTACTAATAATAATAATAATAAATAATATATATATATATATATATATATATATATATATATATATATATATATATATATATCTTTGATAATGGCTTCTGTAAGCCGAAAGCTTAGCTTGGATTAAAAATATGTAGCAATAATGTGATTTTCTTTTAATGATAATGTTATTAAGCTTATCAGGCGATTTTCTTTTCCTGCGTCTCATATGCACGAGTTTGTCGTTGCTTGGAAATCTTCCATGTAAACAAAATAGACTAACATTATTGTTTTGTTCGTGTATTGTTAAATATATTGTAATGTAATTCTCATCTATGATAATGGGTTATGTAAGCCGAAAGCTTAGATATGATTCATATATATATATATATATATATATATATATATATATATATATATATATATATATATATATATATATATTATAGTTTGTAGAAGATTATGGTTGTTTCAGAAAGAAAAACAGAAACAGGAAGATCATATGGTATACACCTCCATTCAATCAATTAGTTCGTACTAAGTTGAGACGCAAGTTTCTAAACTTAAATGATAAACATTTTCCTAAAAAATAATTCACATTTTCAATCGGAATACTCTAAAAATTAGCTATGGTTGTACTAATAATCTAGAGAAAATAATTAAATCACACAATAATAAAACATTGAAATAACAATACTAACTGTAATGTTAGTACTGATTCTAATTTGTCTCGTATAACCTATGTAATTGTAGGAATTCTGACCAATTCCCTTTATCTAACAAGTGCTAAACGAAATTCCTTGTGTAAGTGTTCTATTTCATCAAATGAAAATCCCAGGATTGTTAAAGTATATATTGGTAGCACAAAGAATGCTTTTAAAATGCGTTTGTATAATCATCTCTCATCATTTACTAATGCTGACAAACGAAATATGAAAAAGATGGTATAACCAATGGCTTCTGTTAAAGCTTAGATAGGATTAAAACATGTATCAATATGGTGATTTCCTTTCGTCTTTCAATGATAATGCTATAAAGCTTATCAGACAATATGAAAGAAACTTACTTAAAATAAATAGACAAAACTTGTCTATATTATTTAATGAAATACATCAATGAAAAATTGCTGCCTAAATACACACACACACAATATATATATATATATATATATATATATATATATATATATATATATATATATATCATCCAAAGCAAGGGAGTAAAGTCACTAAAACACAAGTAAGTGCATGACGTTGAAGAATTGGGAACAGAATCATTACTAATAAGCTTGAATCTAAAACAATAATCAGCAGGATGGTAGATAGCGATTCACATTGGATCTAAATTCTTGAAGATTAAACTTTGATAGAAACCACGGAGCCGGAAATCAGTTTTATGGGCGAGAAGCTTGAGAAAAGAAATTGTTAGCATAAAATTTACGGCTAAATCTAGCTATCTCATCTCTAAATTCATGAGATCTCGACGCCAGTCCATAACTGCGCTTAAATTCAAAAAGTCTACGTGACATAGCGAAGAGCTAAACAATATTCTAAGCATAGACGAAAAGTAGACTTATAGATATACAAGATAGATTCTATCGAGAAAAATTGTCCAGTATGACAAACCAACTTTCTTAGCAGCTGATCTAGCAATGGATTCAATGTAGTCTAAATAAAATAAAATGCGTTGTTTATTGACTTGTAAAGATCAGTGGTCAAAATCAAGAAATAAAGTTACAAAGATTTTCTGTTTAAATTAAATTATATATGTAGGTAAAATCCGTGTTAAGTAATCCAGCTGAATCCTAGTAATATAAAATATTAAAACTGATTTACCGAAAAGAGCTCAATGTATTTATTACAGAGCATATATGAATTACAGAGATGAAAATCGCTCCCCCAAAAGAATGGCAATTTCGCCCTTCCAACGGGATTATCAACTCATAGAGTTTTATAAAAATCAAATTAAAAAGTGTATCACAACGGTTGTGTAAAAAAAGCAAAAAATAAATAAAAAAAATGATTAAAAATCATTTAAAATTAGAGGGGGGGGAGAATTAAATTAAGGAAAGAAAAAGGAAAAAGAAAAAGAAAAAGGATAAAGAAAAAAGGAGGAGAGAATAAGAATCAAATAAGAAAGGGAAGGCGTAAAGAACTTAAAATGAAAATCAAGATGAGAAAATCATCAAATTAGAGGTGGGGGAAGGCACATATAAATTAAGGAAAGAAAAAGAAAAAAAGAAAACGAAAAATGATAAAGGGAAAAGAAAAAAAAAGAGAAAATCATCAAATTCGTCTAGACATGAGCTGACCTTAATTGAACATCTTAAATCTTCATCAAAGTAAGAAATAAAATAAGAAAGAAAAATGAATACAGAAGAGATTTTAAAATAAAAGATGTTTTTAAATTTTAAAATATAAAAAATTATAGAAAATAAAAAAGAAATATTAAAAGAAGAAAAAGATAAAAATGGTAAAACGGCAATTAAGAAGCAATCAAAAACTAAAATTGAATATTAGATGAAAAGTTTTGAAAAAATTAATAAATAAAAACTGGATATTCGTTATAAGTTCATAATAAAAAAAAATTGATGAAACATTTTAAAAAAGGATGAGGTATAAAGAAAGAAAACAAGAAAAAAAGTCATAGATATAGAAATAAAATTAATAATTAATTAAATTAGAAGACTAATTTGTACGATATAAATAAATAAAAAAGAATTTACATATTTAAGAAAGATAAAAAAAAGTTAAAAAATAGACAAAAGAAAAAGGAAGAAAATTTAGATTAAAAGACCAATAACAAATAAAGCTATAAAAACAAAAATTTAAATTTAACATTAAAAAAAAGATAAATAAAAGATTACACAATTATAAATAATAAAGTGTCCTTAAAACTTAATATTTAACATATTAAGAAAGAAAAAAGCAAAACTATAATTTACTATATACGTCAACTAAATTTAAAAATTAAAGGATGGCTATTAAAAAAAAAAGAGTAAGTTCGATATTGGATTCCTAAGTGAATCCAAACAAGTTCTATATCGGTGAGAAATAAATTATAATATATATATATATATATATATATATATATATATATATATATATATAACTTGAATATAGATTAAAGGTGAAGAAAGGGATTTAAAAGAACATAATAGACATATGACAATTTACAACTAGCAATAAGAAGCATAATAAAATAAAGGTAAATTATTATATAAAATAAAAGGACGTAATACAAAGTTTTAGCAACTAAAAAGGGGGAGAATTTAATTTAAAAAGAGAGATCAGGGAAGAAATCGAACTATATGTAGTAATCAATAAAAGATTGTCCTCCGAGGTTGAAGATGTCTTTTATCAGTTTAAATTTACTTCTGTGACAACATTTAGAAATTAATTCATTCTTTTGATCCAGTAAAAACATTTTGATTTTCAAATTTACTAATTCTAATTTTTTTCTTCTAGGCATAAGTTACATCTACCTTTAAAGTTATTAGGGGTATAGGAAAAACCTATGAGTTTCCAGTCAATTTAAGAGTTCTTTCTCTTTCACTTCCTAAAAATAGAAAGGGTTGGAAAAATAGTATGTATGGTTATAAAATCTTTGTTTCCATTCCTCCGCAGAAATACCAATGTAAACCTGGTGATTTGGTCTATTTCCTATGGGGTAAAAAGTAGCTTTTATACATTAATATTGGACCAGTTTTATTGAAACATATTAATAAACACTTCAAGAATAACAACCCTTTATGTAATATTTTTAATAGAAAAACTGTTAAAATTAGTTATTCATGTACAAAGAACATGTTTAAAATTATTGACTCACACAACATATATATCCTAATAGTGTCAATAAGTATTCTAGTATAGACCTCCCCTGTAACTGTAGGAATAGCAATCGTTGCCCAGTCGAGGGAAAATGTGTAACAACTAATGTCATTTATCAAGTTATTTATCCCAAAGAAAAAGATCAAATCACCAATATTTTAATAATATTCGACGCGTGATTTCGTTATATTCACTGCATATGATTTAGAATCGTCTCTTCATCGTGTGAATAATTTACAATGATATCAGAATATATACCATCATCAAAATATCTGTGATTTCAAATAATGATAAATAATTTTGAGGCAGAGTGGTATGTTATGAGTAATTTAGATTCCTGTCATCATTTAGTCTAGGCAAAACGAACAATGGTTAGGTCAGCAAATGAGTGGCCAACAATCACGTCTTTAGCCTATGAAGGATTTATATTCATATCGTCAACGTCTGAATGATTAAGAACTTTATCATTAGCCAATGTTATGCGCACATTGCAATTATATCATCATCTTTATACGATGACTTCAGAATCATATGATTATGTAAATGAATGCGCGATTTATCGTACGCAGTTTTGTTTGTCTTACCACGAACAGAAAATAAATGTTATTTCAAAGTTTGTATAATTGAAGTTGTTTTACTATGGCGATAAGCCTCGGAAAGACAAAGAACAATGACGGATATTAATCTCATTTTATCAAGTCTTAGGAAAATCAGGACTGGGGAAACAATATATGGCTTCTGCTGACAGCAATACAGGTACGCACATAAATACAGCCTGCCATCACACACACACACACACACACACACACACACACACACATATATACATATGTAGATATAGATATATAGATATTGATAATATTAGTAGTTAATACACACACACACACACAAACACACACACACACACATATATATATATATATATTGTTTGAATAAAAAATCTAGCCGACACAGAGTGGGGTTAAGGATAAGGAATTGAAAATGGTACATCTAACTCACTCATATCTTCTCTCCCACCTCACTTCCTCACTTCGTTAATTTTACATACGCTTGGTGCGGTCCGTAAAAATGTGTAAGCTTTTTTACATTTTTCATTTCAACTTTTGGAAGTAAAGTCTGATGATCCAGAGCCCTGTTAAAGAGGTTGTGGTGAAATAACTTATTACATGGAACCTTAAAGTGGTCTGTTTTTATTCAAACATATTTGCTCTGAATTTACATTGAGCTCCCTGGATATCATCCTCCTTGGGTCTACCCATACGGATTACCTAGTTTTGCATAAACTATATATATATATATATATATATATATATATATATATATATATATATATAAACATACATAAAATATATGTAAAAATTTCCAAGAGGATAAAATCCAGGTAGAACTCAATGTCCAGGACAGAGTAAGAATATAATAAAAAGGTTTAAGCACTAATATTATATCGTCTTTTATTTTGCGTAGTATCACCACAAATGTATAAACCCATTTCCGGTGTCGGTTTTTAATTTAATTTAGGTCAGCGATTCAGTAATGAATTATGCATCGGAAAATAATTCATATTTATGTGTATCTCACTCATTTAAACCGTCATTTAAACTCCTCTCTTTAAAACTCCTCTCTGTTAAATTTTAATCCCCACCTTTCCTTTTAGGCCTTCCCGTTCTTCTCTCGTCTGTTTCCCCTCTCTAGAGCATTCATTTAACTCTCACATTGCAGCCCCCCCCCACTCTCAGACATACACTCTCACTAAATTTTATTTTTTATTCCTGGAATTATTTTTTCTAATTTCTTTTTGAATTTGTAGGTCGGATGAATTGTATCATAATTACGATTCGAATGTAATAAATTATAACAATGGAATATTAGTGTTTAAGCCTTTTCATTATATATATATATATATATATATATATATATATATATTGCTTCAGATATTACTTTCAGTTGATATTCGTATTTAATAAACGCCCTGTTTTCAAACAGTGTTTATAAAGTCTACGGGTGTGAGAAATCGAGAAAACATAATAAAGAAAATGGAAAATGTGCCAACTAGAAATAACGTTTGAAAAATTTTCTGAATTGTTTATTTTAGTTATATTTTCTTTTAGTATTTTTTTAAATGCATCTTGTTTTTTTATGGAATTTATGTTTCTAACTAGGTCATTTAAGTCTTTCTCGAATAAATAATAACAAGTAAAATAAATTGACCTAAATTCATCCAAATAAATAAACAAACCGATCCCGATAAACTAACCGTTAAAAACAAATAAAGATAATCAATCCAAATAACTACATAAAGTAATAAACAAATTAAAAACTGTTCCCGCCAAAATAATAGCTAGAATAAACTACGACAATCAACTGGCCAAATTGAATAGCTTTAATTATCTTCCCAAACCAAAACAAAACTAGTAAGTAAGCGATATAAAAAAAATTTACTACGTTAATAAAAACACCGATTAAAATAATAAATAAATAAATATATAAGATAAGAAATAAAAAAAAATAAAATGAAAATAAATAAAAACAAGGAAAACGATTTAACCCAAATAAATAAATAAACAAGTTAACGACTTCCGGTTAAATAACCGACAAAATAGACTACCCACAATGCACCACTGACCCAAATATATAAATAGCAGAGAAAAATAACAGCACTTGTGGCATCTAGCATGAAACAGACTGTCGCGTCAAAGTGTTGACTTCTATGTTCACTTTTTATATTTACACACGCTCTATCTCTGATATTGAGCACTTTATCCCATAAATATAGCACATCTTAAGACTATATTTCATTATATATATATATATATATATATATATATATATATATATATATATATATATATATTATACACATAAGATAGACCATATAAATATGGGTTGGTAGAACTCAATTGCCACTGCTTTTTCAAATTTGTAGGTCTTCCCAAGAATATGAATAAATGGATTCTTTGTTTCAATACATTTTGTTTACATTTTGTGTTGATTCCAATTTAGTAAATTATCAAGAGGAAGAAAGGAATATTAGCTTTTTGAATTTGTTAGATTGGATCGTGATTACGATTCCAATGTAGTTTTAACCAAGGAATATTAGTGTTACTTTTTATATTATATTATATATATATATATATATATATATATATATATATATAGTGTATATATATAGTGGTTGGTTCCTCGCTTTTGCCTATGTCCGTCTCTTTTTACGCTCCATTTATTTATTAAACACTATATATATATATATATATATATATATATATATATTCGTCTACCGGCCTGAATATCGAGAAACGTTACGTTAAATACTGTTTAATAAATAAACGGAACGTGTACTCACATATGAGCATCCACTAAAAATTAAAAAAAAAATCTGTCGGATTAAGAAATAAGTAAAATAATCCATTACTTCTTTTAAAAGATTAATTTGTTTACCTTTGGATACGAAACTGAGCTGATAATTTTGTGTAATCTATGACGAGAGGAGTTTCGCTTAAAGGCAATGTTCAGACTTTGTTTGATCGGCAAAGTCTAATATATATATATATATATATATATATATATATATATATATATATATACATACATATACAGGGTGTTCGAAAGCTCACGAAAAATTGGCAGAAAACATACAGTTGTGAAATAGCAATCGGAGAAAACTTGCAGGTTATCATCTTCTGTAATTCGACAAATGAAATTTCTTAACAATATAATGTCGCATACAGAGACATGATTCCATTTGGCAAATAAATTTAAAGCTTACAAAGTTATCAAGGGTAATGCGACTTTTGGAAAGCTCTCTCTCGCTCTCTCTCTTTCTCTCTCTCTCTCTATATATATATATATATATATATATATATATACGCCCCCCCCCCCACTAAAAATAATTTCGGTCGAGCACTTTGAGGAGAAAGCGGGAATTTGTAAACAGAGACCATGTCCATGAATTGAGCCATCTCGGTTACTGGCGTGTTTATTCAAAGAATGAATACAGAAAAATTCGTCTTCCTCTTAACCGGACTCCGATGACTCAGGAGTAAATTCTCCCACTGATGCCTAATCAGTCGGGTTTCAGGGAAGTCGGACGTCTATTCACACTGATGAGCTGTGGTACAGCGAAACAGTCTGTTTGTGAATGACAATATATATAAGGGAGGAAGGATACATTCAGACAATGACAGATGTAATATATGGGTACACAATGAAGAATACGAAGTGAGAGGGCTTAAAACCCTACGAAAGTCAAGAGACAGAGAAGAGGAGATTGCGTATAATCTATTTAACGTGTTTGTGAGAAGGGAAAAAGAAAAAAACGTAAGAGAATGAAAAGAAACTGAAGAAAATTCAAATATAAAAAAAGAAATGTAAGCCGACAGTAAATAAAAGGATAACGCCTAAACGAATAAGAAAGAAAGAAAGAAAGGAAGGAAGGAAGAAAGAAAGAAAGAAAGAAAGAAAGGAAGGAAGAAAGAAAGAAAGAAAGGAAGGAAGAAAGAAAGAAAGAAAGGAAGAAAGAAAGGAAGGAAGGAAGAAAGAAAGAAAGAAAGAAAGGAAGAAAGAAAGAAAGAAAGGAGATATCCGATTAAGAAAGAAAGGAAACGCTAAGAAAATGTTAAACGAATAAGAAAAGAAGAAAAAGCAAAGGAAATGGTTGAATGAACACTAAAAAAACGATGAAAAAAAAGAAGTACTGAAGAAGAAGTATGAAAACATGAGAAAGAAATAAAGAAAGAAAAAAGAAAAAAGAAAGAAAGATAGATTAATTGCTAGAGAAGTAAAAGAAGAAATGTAGTAGGAAAAAAAAGAAAGAAAAGGATAAAAATGCAACAAAATTAAAGCAGCGAATAATACAATTAAATAAATAACAAAGAAAGAAAAAAGAGAGAAAGATAAGAAATAAAGAAACAAAACGAAATGCAAGAGAAGAAAGGAAATATTAAAAGAAGAAAAGGAAAGGTAAGAAAAAAGAGAAGAAAAGAAAAGAAAGAAAAGCATAAATAAACAAAAGGTAATAAAGAAAGAAAGAAAATGAAAGAGAAGGACAAGGTAAATGAATAGTGAACAATTCAAGGGAAAGAAAACTGAACATTTTAAAGCAGGAAGTCGATAATGGGGTTGTATAAATCCTCTTGGTTTGTTTGTTTCAGATATTCGTACCTCAGTACGTAAGTCGATACATGAGGGAGCCTTACATCTTGACCAAACTAAGTCGTATTGACAGGCCAGGAATGCTTGAGGTAATCTTATAGGCCCGTGTGCAGAAACCTTTGGTGAAGGTGATGGCGTTGAAGCAAAGATATCCAGGGAGAGTTTTAATGGCGTGTTCTGTTCCTTCCCACTTCAGCACGAACCTGTCCAATTTAATCAACCGCTGTTTAATCCGGGCAAAAATCCTTTTTGACTGCAACCATACTACGTAATATCTCATTTTTCATTACTTCAGTTGTTCTCGTCCCAAATATCATGGCGCCTAATTTCGCGTCTAGAAGTATTTATGTTGGGAAGGACGCGGTGCAAGAGAAGCAAGGAGATACTGCAGATTTAACGTAGTGTGAGTGTCGAATTCTCCAAGCTTTCATTCCTCGTTGTCTTTCTGAAATTTTTCCAACTATCACTTTTTTATTCTGAAGTACAAGTATATATTTTGTTCCCCTTTCGTCAAACTTCCGCGTCGCTCACATACTCCATCCATTGAATTCTCAATATCCTTCTGTTTTTTCATGTCTCTGCTTCATTTGGGAGAAAATTGTCCCGTATGCAATGCCATAAACGAAGATAGATTTTTACATAGCAGTTGATGAAATAGCTTCTGATGAAATTTTCTTGTTTGTCTTTTAGAAGGCATCTTTTGCTAATTTGATTCCTCTTGAGGGTTTTTTGTCCCATTTTCAGCTGTCTCAGTGCGACGAAAAACTACATCCGGCAGCAAGGCCTCTGATCTGAACTGTAGATTTTGAGGGGCGTAGAACCTCCTCTTAAGTACTGTTGTCCATAGGTGCACCCTGTTAGGGTCCGTGCTATGGACAAATAGTGACACCAAACACTATAAAAGTATAAAAAATACCAGCAATACTTTTTTATTAAAAAAAAATATCAAGGGTGCATATTTATAGTAAAATTTCTAATGATACATTATTAAAACAGAATCACCAAAAATACATTTTATCTGTAGTTGAAGCCATAGAATTGTTTTCAAAATACAGTAATCTCTCGTTTATCGCGATAGATTGGTTCCGAGACCAGCCGCGATAACTGAATTTCCGCGAAGTAGGGACGCCATATTTACAGTATTTATTTAACGTGTATTTGGACTTTTAAAACCCTCCCTGTACTGTTAACAACCCACCCATCACAGTACTCTATTAATAACAAGGACAACTGTTAAGCAATAACACTTTAGATTAAAAAAAAAAAGAAGATTGTTACTGTATTCAACACGATAGAAGTTGAAGTAGAATTTGAATGATGATGGTGATGAATTTGTTGCACAGTAGAAATGATGAAGCTGATGATGACTTCTACTGTACAGCCGATAATTGTATTTTACGTCTCTTCAGACGGTGGTGTCCTTTCTATTGCTATTTTACGCTTGTTTTGTTGTTCCTAGACCAGGAAATAATATTTATTATTAATATTTTAATGGGTTTAATGAAAAATTTTAGGTGTTCATATATCGCGATTTTTCTAGAATTTTCCAGAAACTCCGCGATATATTTTCCATATATATATTTTTAAAATCCGCGAAGTCGTGAATCCGCGATAGTAGAACCGCGAATTAGCGAGGGATCACTGTATTTAGATTCCGGCATTAAATAACCCATAGAGGTGTTGATAGGCTTCTAAACAAAATCAACAACCTGTTAGTGTTTCAGCTATGGGCAAATAATGAAACCAAAAACAAAACATTTGTAGAGTTAAAATACATGGAATATATTTTTATGTAAAAAAAACAACAATACCTTATTTATAGTAAAATTATCAACAATACATTTTTAAAGCAACATTTTATGTGTAACTGAAGGCGTTACATGTGCGTTCAAAATATATTTAGTTGAAGCCATAACATTGTATTAAATTTTTTTAGATTTCAGCATTAAGTGACTCATAAAGGTGTCGATATGCCTCTAAACAAAATCAGCCAACCAACAATCAACCGTTGTCTCAGACAGTTAACTTTCAGTACTTGGCTGGTTCTGTCGTTTCCAATTCAAACCTGCTATTTTCGGTTGTCTTCTTGCTAACGACCATTCATTCTAATATCGTTATTCCTTTCTTCCCGCTTTCGTTTGCTACATTGCCTAGGAGTTCTTGCTGGCTTCTTTCTGCGCATGTCTTGAGCACAGTATAATCTGCATATCTTATGCTGTTATCTGCCAATAATAAATCCTTCACCGACTTCCATTCTCTTTAGATTGCCTCGGTGTACACGGTGCGATGGAAAAATTGTCGCTATTTGAAGTTTTAACTTTGCGCATGCGCGTTCATTATTTTTGATTTTGTCAACTACTCAGTATAGTAGGGTCATTTGGGCAACGATTGTGAGAAAAAAAGAGCACCAATGACGCAATACCCTCTGCCAGAAATTTTAAAACAGCATGCTGTACTGCTTGGCATTCGCGCCGGAATCTCCAATACGAACATTTCAGAATGTTTGGGTGTCAATCCGAGGACAGTGCAAAGGATTCTGAAAGAGTTGGGTAATATATACAGTCAACCTCATGGTATTTCGTGTGATCACTAGTGATGGCGACCTTATGCCTCCACTCTTCTTCCCAACGGGGCCTGAGACTCAACACGGACTCCTACATCAAGTGCGTTGAGAAGGTAGTGCTGCCCTGGATCAAAAGGGTGGCTGCTGGAAGACCATATATCTGGCAACAGGACTCTGCTCTATACCATATAAGAAGGGGAACCCAGTCGTGGTTGTCAAACAATTTCTGTGACCCCATCACCTCTTACATCTAGTCACCTTATCGCCCAGACTGCAACCCTGATTATTATGTGTGGGGCGCAGTTGAGAGATTAACAAAACGCCTTGTAACACGAAAGATGAACTGAAGTCAAGGATTATGGCAGCATTCACCAACTTAAACAAGGAGACTGTACAGAAGAGTTGCAGGAGATTCCGAGGTCGTTTGGAGATCGTGGTTGAAGCCATTTACGATTTTATTGAATAAATTTACTCTTTAGTATATCAAGATATTTTTGTGTAATTTGGGTAAATATATCTTCTAAAACGAGTGATATTTTCATTTTTGCGTCATTTAGATGACAATTTATCTATCGATTCCCGTATAGTTTAAATAAAATGCAATTAGAAATTTAGCCATGTCATGCTTTTCTACTTTCATCTAAAAAAGAATCATAGGCTCGCTTAAAGAACCGATGGATATGTCGCTTTGTGCCAGACTAAGCTATGTTTAGTAAGTTTCAGTAGTATGATTTTGAGAATATTTACCCAAAATAAAGCCAAACAGGCACTAAATGTAGAGCGTTACTGATTGAGGTTCTTGTAAGGGTTTACAGTGGCGGGTGGTAAGAGTTTCACATTATGAGGATATGTTGTATAGATAGCTGTTGATCATAGAATTGAAGAGGTTAAAATTTTAGTGATTCGGAAGTATCCTCTCAGGAGTCCGTTTCCCAATGCAGACGTCTGGGAGTTTTTGAGAGGAACTTCTTCCTCATTAATGGAATACGAAGGAAATGAAGATGAGTCAATTCACTGTATATGGTCTGGCGGACCCGAGTTGTGAAGGCCTGAACTAGTGGAACCAAGGAATGTAGTTCGCCCGGACATCTGCCATGAAAATACTGATAGAGTAACAAGAGGCTAGCAAATTTTCATCTCATCAGCTGCAGGTTGGAAAATTATTCATCACCCAGAAGGTCGCGGAAATGCTTCTGAACTCTGTAGAGGCTGGAAAGGTGAGATTGGTCAGCTCCAACCCAGATATAACAGCAAGACTTCATTTTTTGGTTTAAACTGGATCTTGTAGATATAAATCAGGGTAGGAGAAGCCAGGTCTTTTCAGGATTGGTATGAGGAACCGACCATTTTTCCAGCATCTTTAGCGATGGCTCGTATAAGTTCCACTTGAGATCTGTAGTGAAACTGATTATATATTACTGTTTCGACAACTATTTTTACTGGTTTATCTTCTTAATGAGTTTCAGCCGTTCTATTCTTCGGCCTTATTTGTGAATTTCTACGAAGTTTTTTCATTGTTATATATTTTTTGTCTTCTCCCCTTAATAGTATTTTTCTCATATTCTCTCACACTTAGTAAATCTTTGCATCTTAGTGGCTTTATTGCCTTGCTTAGAGAGAAATGATTTAAAAATAGGATCAGGTTCTTTCTGGAGTATAAGGTTCCGTCCATTTTACAGCAAAGAGATGGAAAAAGTTGTTTAAAGTGAGCTTGACTAATTACTGTTTCTCAAATTTTTCTGGTTTCTTCGTAATGAGTTTCAGCCATTCTATTCTTGCCTTCTTCGACAATTTCTGTGAAGTGTTTCTTATTGTTACTGTTATATATTTATTAATTCGAAGCAGTTTCTTGACGTGTGTATAAATTATTACGCTGTTCCGGCAATTGTA